TGAAACCTTAATATATTTAATGAATAAAATATATGTTTAATCAATTAATTTATAAATAAATTTTAAAAATATCTGAAATTTGAAATTTTAAACTTAAGTTCTTAAATTTGAAATTGGTAAAACTAAACATCTTAGTTATGTATTGTTCCCTTAAAAAAATGGCCGGGACAACCTTTACCCGGTTTGAACATTCCAAATTAAAAGGATTTGGACCCGCTTCTACCTTTAGGCTTGATTATGGGATCTAGTGCCTTGAAAGAGGCCCAACAATGAATCAACATGAGGAAATTAAACCCATACATGAATTTTAATTTCAAATTCAAAAATCAGGTTTAAAATTTATTTACTTAAAAATCTGATCATAATTCAAATTTCTAATTTTAATAATAGTATTATTAAATTAATCTATTTTTTTAAAATTTTGTTAATCTCTCTCTATAGCCCACCCACGCTAACCCAATTTCACTTTCTACCAATGTCATAAAAATAGCCACTTTTCTTTGGCGGCAATAGTCACCCCGGCAAAAATAGGTGGGCGGCAGCAACAATCGCCCCGACACTACAATGTGCTGGCAACACCCATGTCCACCAGCCCATCTCAATAACTCAGTAACCATCCCAAATCTTCTTTGGTTTATCAACACCCACACATACATATTGAATTGATAAGGAACCTCCATATAAAGCAATGTGCTCAATCTCTAAACGATAATGTTTATGGAGCTTCTCCATTTTGTGATGGCGTTGGACAATGATCTTTGGGATGCTAAAGTTATTGGAATGCGGAAGCAGAATTGCCCAGAAATTATAAAAAATTATTTAATTCTATAAACAAGATCGTTTAAATGTTCACGTGTATGTTATATCAAAAATAAAATATTCGAATTTTTACCTGAATTCGATGAATAGTTTTTAAATTAATTCTGAATCATGAACATCCTGCTTTTTGGATCACGAGCTTTTAACTTTTTATTTCCAATAACTTGATGTTCCAAACCTCCAAATCTTTTATGGTATTCTCCAAAGTCAAGACTATACCGGTAGGTGGGCACCATCTTTTAATTAAATCAAGAAAATAATTTTTGGATTAAACAATAAGAAAATAAAAATTTTCTCACTTTTTCTCTCTTTCTCCAAATTTGAACACTATGAAATTATGTATTATGATTGTTTTGAATTTCTTTGTTCATCTAGTCTCTATTTATAGAGATAAAGATGCTCAAATTCATCTATAATAATAATTTCAATTTCGAATATGAGTCATAATTAAAATTCAAATATGAGTTTTAATTAAATTTCACATCTAATTAGTTTACATTTAATTATATGTGTAGTCCTAAAACTTTAATTACAATTATAATTAAGTTTACAACTTTTATAACAATTACAATTAAGTACAAGCTTTATTGTAATTACAATTAAGCCAAAACTATTATAATTACCATAATTGAGTCACAATACTTTATAGAGCTACCATAGGGACTTGATCGGACATCTATTATTCAGGCTCCAATAATTAGATCATGTCTAGTTGAACCTAGACAACCAAATCTAATTAATAGTCTTTGTTTTTCCATTAAAGGTAAAGATTGAATTCTCAAAATATATAAAATTACAGAAGCCAATAAATCTGTAATATTTTCCTCTGAATTGCCGTATATGTATTTTATCTCTGTTCGATATTCAATAATTATGTACTAGCATAAATGATCGTTTTGTCCCTCTAATTATTCTCACTAACTTANGTTGTATATGTATTTTATCCATGTTTGGGAATCGATAATTAGGTATGAGCATAAATAACTATTTTGTTCGTCTAATTATTCTCACTAACTTAAGTACCATTTTTTTCAACGGTCATGTGAACAAATCACATATGTCGAAGTTTAGCCGTTGCTAAACACTGAACTCGGATTTTAACCGTTCAACAAAAAATACTTAATTAATCACTCTATCCTTTTTCAGGGCGACGGTTCTAGACATGAATTCGTGTTCTCTAATTCGCTCATTCTCAAGTTTCCAACTCAATGAGATATTTGATCAATCAAATTAATCTCACCCATTGGTGAATCAAAGAACCATTAAAATCATGAAAAGAAATACATAACCTTGTCAAGGGATTTAGTTGGAATATACAACGATCATGTGGAATTTAATTCTCCGCACGGTCATGCTAAAGAATTAAACACGTGGTCCACTTAATACACTCCAAATGTACTAGTGTTACATTTTATTATTTATGTGATAAGGACAAATCACAAACACAAATAATGAATCGGTCAACACTATAACCTTCCAGTATAAGGTGTCAACCTTTATACATTGGTTGTGAACAAATTATTTATGATCAAAATAAAAGTTGTGTCACATTGTTCTTCTCAACTCAAGTACCCAACTTACATCATGATAAGTGATCATAAGGCATTTTAATTCACATGCTCAATTACAAATAAATGCAATAAATAAATAAAACCACAATTTATTTATTATAAATTATTATTTCATCACAGTAAAATATACTATATGGGTACACAACACAACAAATCTCCCACTTGCTTTAGAGTATATGTGTTATGTTTTGCAACCTTATGTCTCGCAAATGTCCCTAAAAAACCGTAGATGGCAAGCTCTTAGTAAACGAGTCTAAAAGGTTATCCTATTAGCAATCTTACTAACAACCAAATGTTTTCTACCAACTATCTCTTTTAAGAGATGATATTTCCATTTAATGTGTTTACATCTCTAATGACTCTTGGTTCTTAACATTTGCCATATTCCTACCGTTATCCCAATATAGTGTAAAGGGCTTTGCAGATACAGGCATCAGCTCGATGTCGGTTAGAATTTTCTGGTCACACAGCCAATCTAGTAGCTTCACAAGCTACCAAATACTCGACATATTTGGTGGCATCAACAATTCATGATTTCTTGATACTTCTCCAAATAATGGCCCCACCATCAAGTGTAAACAACGCTACTGATGTGGACCTACGATAGTCTTCATCATTGTGGAAGTTCGAATCCTTTTAACCCATCGAAACAAGTTCTGGCGAGGAGCATATAATTCCTCGTTCTCCGAAGATACAAAAGGATATGCTTTACTTCCATTCAATGTTTCGATCCTAAGGTTAAATAGATCTCGACTCACCATACCAACAGTATGACAAAAGTAAAGTATCCTAATCATGTACTCAATCTCTTTAGAAGTCTTAGAGAATTGATCATTGGAGAGTTGGA